TTGACTCAACATGTTTTGAGGACTGGTTTTTCTCTTTACTTTTTCTAAGACTTAAGAAGGCTCAAGGAAGAAGTGTCATTATAGGTGATAACGTATCTCCACATTTGAGCATTGCAGTACTGGATGCATGTCAAAGCAATAACATAGGATTTGTGGCATTACCAGCAAACTCTACACATCTCACGCAGCCATTAGATGTTGCCTACTTTAGATCTATGAAGATTAACTGGTGCAAAATATTATGTGAATGGAAGGAGATAGAAAAAGGAAGAAGAGTTGCTTCTCTTGCTAAAGATAAATTTCCTAGACTTTTATACCGTTTAATTATCAACTTAAGTGAACATGGGAATGATAACCTTAGAGCTGGTTTTCGCAAGACTGGAATTTTTCCATTAGACAAGTCTTAAGTGCTTTCACGACTACCATGTTTCACGACTACCATGGGAATGATAACCTTAGAGCTGGTTTTCGCAAGACTGGAATTTTTCCATTAGACAAGTCTTAAGTGCTTTCACGACTACCATGTTGTAATGTAGGTTTAGACTCAACTACTGATTTAGTAAGCCAATCATTTTTAGATTATTTATGTAAGTCACTGGATGATCCCTCAGATAGTTCTAAAAAACCAAAGCGACGTAAAGTATGTGCTGTCCCAGGTAAAAGCTTATGTTCAACAGATATATCATCTTGTGTTATAAATGAAAATAATAGACTAAATTCAAATAATGTAGATACATCTATCAGTATTATAAATACAATTGAGACCAACAACATTGACTTTGCTGGCGCAAGTACAAATACTGGAACTACTGAGACTTCTAATCTAATTTTTGCAGATATAAGTTGAGTTGTAGAAAGTCATACAGAATCTTTAGATCATTCAGCATTAGGCAAAAAGAACTTTCAAAATATCGATAAAACAAAAAATGTTTGTAAAAAGGAGAAATTATTAATTCTTGTAGAGAATTGTTATCTAATTGTTAAATGCAATGAAGAGTTAAATCCTGGACAGATTTGTTTATTTATTTTGAGTTATTTAAATTTAGCTAATTAATTAGTAAACTTTATAACTAATTAATTTAATAACTAATATTATTTAATAAAACTACTGAAAAATTAAAAAAAAAATTTAGAAAATTTTTTTTCTGCAGTTGAAAAAATTAAGAAAAAAATGGAGCAGAAATTACTATTATGAAAAAAAATGGACTTCACTGGAAATGGTCACTACCAGCAGAGCAACTTTTTCCCCAGTCTGAAATAGTCGATTTTATTGAGGAACCAAAGAAAATTTCGAAAAGAGGAATTTATTCAGTTTCAGAACTTTTTCACTAAACTTTTCAAAACATTTTTGTCATTTTTGTTTACTTTATACCTAAACTGTTTTGTTTACTTGGTACCTATACTTGTTTAGTGTGTACCTATATTTTATTTACTGTATACAAGAACTTTGTTACTAAATCTTTTTTTGTCACTTTATTTTTGTAAATTTATTTTCTTTGCTTAAATATTGTTGTTTTTATTGTTGTTTTGCTTCCTTTAATTCCTTTTTACAGGGTTGCGCCAAAGTCACCTTATACTGCTGAGTTTGGTGAGCATGATGATGTCATACTCACCAAACGTCAAATAGCCTGCTGCCGGGGGCTACATTTTCTAAAAACGCTCACTTAATTTAGGCTAGCAAAAAAAGTGAGCAATTACGCATATAAATATGCTATAGTAGATATATATATATATATATATATATATATATATATATATATATATATATATATATATATATATATATATATATATATATATATATATATATATATATATACATACATATATATATATAAAGATATATATATATATACATGTATATATATATTCTTTAATTATGACTAGGAGTGTTTAAACTATTTTTTTATAGAATGTAGAAATTTGTTTTGTTTTTTATTTGTTTATCTCTCATTGACTTTTTAACCACAATAACTGCAAATACCTATATTGCACCCATGCATATATTACATACATACTTAAATATGTATGTAATATATGCTAAAATAATTAATAAAATATACATACATATATTATGTATGTATGTATTAATAAAAACAATCCTGTCTGTCTGTCAAAGACCATACTAGATGTGTTTTTTTATTTTAAAAATATACTCTATTTTTAAAATACACTAAGGTATCTTATATATATATATATATATATATATATATATATATATATATATATATATACCCACATTGATGCTTGATGTGGGTAATTAAACAATATTGCCCTTGTTTCTCTTGTGCCAATAGTTAAATAAATAAATATTAGGACAAGATAACTTTTTAATGTGATCATTGGATCGTTTATATATATATATATATATATATATATATATATATATATATATATATATATATATATATATATATATATATATATATATATACCCACATTGATGCTTGATGTGGGTAATTAAACAATATTGCCCTTGTTTCTCTTGTGCCAATAGTTAAATAAATAAATATTAGGACAAGATAACTTTTTAATGTGATCATTGGATCGTTTATGCCAATCATTGGATCATTAATGATTACTTGATGATAAAGTCTTAATTTCCTAATTAAAAAATGGATGTTTGTTTTTGCTGCTACCAACAAAAATATTGTAAAGTTGAGAAGTCCCTGATCTGATAGAAAATAAAGCTAACCCATTTAGGGACCAGTAATTAGCTTCTCTTGAAATACTTTGAGCACACAGCTCACTAAAGTAAATAGTACACCATTTGCATTATTTAATTATTATTTAAAAAATCTCAACTGTTTTTGATACAAGATTTTTGAAAATTTCTCAATATTGTACACTTCAGAAACTAATAACCTCTAAGGTAACCTAGATAACCTTCTATTGATGGATTAAACCTTTGTAAGTGTGAATGTAGTTGATTGTATGCAGTTAATTTTTTCTAATATGTCGTTTTGATTCTTCAAGCATGTTGTAGTTTTCATCATGAAAAAGTTTCATTTAGAAATTAAAACCGTTCTTTGCCACATGATAAATCTACTAATTATATGCTAATGATATGCTAATTGTGATAGCATAAGACATAATATCAGAAAGTTAATTAAAAGTTTTGTGTTTGAAGAAGAACTAAGAGTTTTAGCAAAACCAGAACGAAAACTTTTGTTTGGAAAATGTTGTTGAATATTTTTTTTGTAGTCATAAGAGTGAGAGTTTAGAGAGTTGGTAATCAAATTGTTGTCTTACCAAGCATTGAATTGCAACATATCACTCAAGATTCTTTTTTAGGCTGATGTCTGCAATTTTTCCACAAGAATTTTTGAGCGTAAGCAATAAGAATAGTTGCGTCAAACTAAATTCAAATATGTTGGCCCAATTAAAAAGGCCCGACTAGAAAAGTTTACAAGAAATATTTAGTTCATAACTCCCTAATAATCTTTTTTCTTATTTTTGGTTTATGAGGTCATTGTTTTTTAAAATGTATTTAAATTATTTAAGAAAATAAAATTCTTGGTCGACAAATTTTTTTAAATGGTTGTTTTTGCAACCACCTAATAGAGTAATGTCATAAAAGTTCATAAGGTAAAGAAAAGATTCAACTTTATTTACCATCGTTATGATTTGATTTTTAATGTTTTTTAAGGATTTCTCCCATTATTAAATTTAGCAAAAATGGCTTTTCTTTGAATTTTAAAGTTACAAGCTGGTAAGGTACTGCATAACAGCAAGTGAAACAAAAAACATTCTTCTTACTTTATGCACCGGTAAAACCATTGTCTTTTCATATGCCAATTTTGATAAAAAAAAACCTCATCTTCTATGCACTTTCTTCTTATATATCTGCATTTTTTTAACATTGTTTATTGCATTGTTAGTATTTCAGCAGTTTAAGGTACTTACTTTGTTGTCTTTTTTTAATATTATACCTATAAAATATTTAATATTAGAATAATGTTGGTTTTTTTTTGTTTTGTTTTTATTTGTTTTATACATTAATTTGTCGTTCAATCTCATTAAGTTTCTTTTTTTATATTTTGAACTTTTCTTTAAAATAAAAGTAAAAATGAGCAAAAGTAAGATAAAGTTTAAACAGTATTCAACCAAGTTTTGTTTATGGTATAAGAAATTTCTTCTACCAAAAACAGGTAGACAAAAAAAATATTTGTTCGAAATCTAATCTCTTTTAAAATTTTCGGTTCGGCTTTAGTTTCATTATAATTATTAAAAGAAAAATGCAAAAAACTAAAATAAAACATGTCCATATAAATATTGGAAGTGTAACCCTTTACTTTTATGGTTACACTTCTTTTATTTAAAATTAGTTTTTTCTTTTAAGTATGCAACAATAAGCTGTTCAATAGTATATAAGTTTAAGTATGCAACAATAAGCTGTTCAATAGTATATAAGTTTAAGTATGCAGCAATAAGCTGTTCAATAGTATATAAGTTTAAGTATGCAACAATAACCTGTTCAATAGTATATAAGTTTAAGTATGTAACAATAAGCTGTTCAATAGTATATAAGTTTAAGTATGTAACAATAAGCTGTTCAATAGTATATAAGTTTAAGTATGCAACAATAAGCTGTTCAATAGTATATAAGTTTAAGTATGTAACAATAAGCTGTTCCTTCATAACATTTTAAAGTTGCAATTTTATGAAAAAAGTCCAAAAGGAAAAGTAAATATTAAATAAATCTACAACACTTATCAAAAAAGTTTAAGATAAAACTTATCAGTTATTTGGCACAAAAAAGTACACAAGTGATGTGAATGAAACCTAAGTTCAACATATTTTAACATAATGTTGTAGATAAACACATATTAGGATTAGTACTATATTTAAATCGTATATAAAAAAAATAAGCAACTCATATTTTTGGTTATTATTTAAAAAAGTACGTGTTCGTATCTAGGGTTAGTATCTAAAAAAGTTCAAGTATTCGCATCAAAAATATTGTACTTTTCAATAACAGAAAATAATATTATTTTAAGATCCCCAAACTTTCTAAAGATTTACCTGTATGGTTTTCGGCTATCTTTGTTTATGGACAATATCGGAATTGTAGGGTTAATGCATCTATGGAAGGTCATTCTAAATGGAGTTGTTGTTATGGAGATCCAGTATTTAAAGTTAATCAACTGAATTTCAATGTGCCTATAATAGAAAGATTTAAAACACCAGGTAAAATTTTTACTTATTATTTTTATTATAAACATAAATAACTTGGTTTTTTTTAGCATGTCATGGATTACAAAAAGATAAATTAAAACATTATAAAACACATTTATTGTTAATTTTGTGTGTGTGTGTTTTGGTATGAAGTTTTGTTTTGCTAACCTGTAATGTATAAAACTAACTTTTCAATTTATTACTGCTCTTGAAATAGAGTCAGAAGCTTTGAGTACCACCAAGACTTTTTTTGTTATTTTTTTGTTTTCTTAGGCACAGGTAAAGGTCAAGTTTTTTGTGAGACGTAAATCTATATAACCATAAAAATGAAAATAATAAAATGTGTAAGTGTAAGATTTATTAATTAAGAGTGTATGTGTTATTGTGCGTTTATAAAGAAAATTGAAAGAGTAGGTGTGCTGATCAAGTTACCAGGATAGTTTTTTTTAAATGTATCTTTAAATGGGGAAACATTAGCTTGTAACTACTGAAACCAACCATTTCCCAATTCTCAAGTCAAATATTTCTCTACATTCTAAACAAAAATGCATTTCCATCTTTGAAAAAAAAAATGGCTTCTTTCATAAAATTATCTTTTGTAATAAAAAAAGTTGCAGTATAACTGTTGTTTAGTAGTTAATTTTAATTGCTATTTTTATTGCTTTAGTTATTTTAGTTAAAATTATCAAAAGCATTATTAAATGTTTTTCCGAATTTCTGCATTAATTATCAAATTTAAATTATAACAAATATATAAAAACATTTTTATAAAAAAACTATATGTGTTTTACATTTGCAGCTTTACATTCAACCCTTTATGTCTTCGCTTGTCTAGATTATAGATTTGTTTGTCTAGAAGTTTCATTTGTTATACTGTTTTTGAAAAAATAGAATCTAAGAGTTATAATTAATTATTTCATTAGTAGTCAAAATGAATCCAATATCGTCAAATAGCGGACCAAACCAAAAAATTTTTCAGACTGAAAAATATCAGTTTGTGTGCACAAACTTGCAGAAAAGGTACAACTTATGCTGTTTTTTTGTTTTGTTTTTGTTTTTTTCTTGTAATAAATATAAATAGTTTAACTAATCAACGTTAAAAATTATAAAACATCAAAAAGGTTTGTAAAATGTCTCGATTTCTAAATAATATTTAGTTAAATAATATTCTAGATAAAGTTTTTAGCATTCATGCTTTATTTTTGATTACATATAGATTTTTTTTGTTAGACAGCCAAGTCCTTGCTATCAACGTGAAATATCAACAGGAATAATTACGTGTATGTATTTATTAATTATTAGAAAATTTGTAAACGCTTTGTTGATATTTAAATTGATTAAATTTTTGAAAATTAATCTTGTAACAGTTGTTTTTACATACTTTTAAAAGTAAAAAAAAAAACTGTATTTTATACATAAATATTTATTATGGTAATTTTAAGTAAATTTAATAATTATAAGGCATGCTATCGGAAAAATCTGCCCACATTTCTTGATCAAAAAAGAATGTACTAAAGCTTAAATGTATTTAAATCAATATATTTCTGAAAAATTAAGTTTGTAAAGATTACATATTAATAGGGAAAAAACAAAAAAAAATTAAGTTTTACAGAAAATTCTGACTTTCTTTTTGATGCCTCCCATAAGTTTCTGGACAGAGTGATTTTTGTAAGTTTTAGCAGCGTAATCCCATTTTTTTCTTCAAATCTGCAGCTGATTTTACTGTTTTTCCACTTAATTTCAATTTCTTTTTAATGATGGCCAGATATTTTTCAATAGGACGTTATTTGGGGCAGTTTGGAGGATTCATCTTTTTCGGAACCAACATCACTCCATTATCATCGTAAAACTTTTGAGTAATGTATTGTGGCCAAATCAAGCCGAAACAATTCTGAATTACTCCTAAAAGCTTTAATTAGTCGTTTTATACGAGAAAGACAACATTTCACGTGTTCCGAAGATTTAATTAGTCGTTTTGTACGAGAAAGACAACATTTCAAGTGTTCTCGAAAGTTGTATAACAAGTTGTCATACAACTTTCGAGCTCGGTTGAATTTTGTTTATCGTTGCAATTTAGCATTTTAACTACTTTAAAACTTTGATATCCAAGTCTCTGTCGCCATTTGTGTACAAAAAATTGGAAACCTTCAGTTTTTTTGCTTGAAATCTATCAGACCAATCAGGATGTTCTTTTAATGAAGTCTCCAACCGTTCGAGAGCTCTAGGATTTGCTGTGCGTTTTTTCCGACCACCTCCTTGTTTTCTCTGAATAGTTTTCTGTTCTGCAAACCGTTTAAGAACAGTATCTACAGTTCTTTTTGATATTTTTAATGATTTCACCAACTTTCTATTCGATAAAGTTGGATTTTTTAAGTGTTTATCCACAATCAAAAATCTTTGCTTATGTTGCTCGTTGACATTTTAAAACTAATGAAAATTTTTAACTATTTTTTCTGCCAAAATGTTCTGTTATACAAACACTACCACACACAAAAAAATAATTTCAAAAAACGACCGTTAACTAGCTTTACCACACCGCAAAAGGTGGACAGATTTTCCGATAGCATGCCTTAAGTTGTAAAAAATGTTAAACATAAAATAGGTGACAAATAAATGTAAAAACTAATACTTAGTTATTATTAAAATATAAGTCAATATACAAAATACTAACTTAAAATTACCAATAGAATAAAAATCTTCCTTAAAATGTTTTATAAATAAAAACAACAAAAATAATAATAGTAACAATAACCATAATAATAATAAGATTATTTATGAATGATAAAATGATAAAAGCAACAAAAATTAAAAAAATGATACTACTTATGACAAAACGATGACTTTTTTTTCTGTATGACTCATCAAGGTAGGCTATGATTTTTATAATAATCATTTTAATACAAAGTTTTGCTTAGCTTCGATTAATAGCACAGGTCAAGAAAAAAAAATTTTCTGGTGCCGAGCAAACAATTTGTTTTTGTATAGCATTTCTCATTTTGATTTTAAATATGCAACTCGTTTTTCACCATCACGTCAAGTTGTAAAGATATTTGGGTTCAAATCTTTTGTATTTGGGGTAAAGTCCATAATATCGGTTGTAATTGTATTATTGCTGAGAAACATTAAAATTGTTTAAAAGTCTTTAGCATTTTTTTACAAAATGTTTTTGTCAATAAATTTTAAGACAAAATATTATAAATAAAATACTCTATAAAAAAACGGTTTTTATTTGAGACTTAGGTTGACATACTTTTGAATAACATTTTTTTCGACAATATTAGGGACTTTACCTCAAATATTAAAGATTCGAACCTGAACATCTTTACAACTTAACGTGATGGAGAAAAATGAGTTGCATATTTGAAATCAAAATGAGAAATGCTATACAAAAAAACAAATTGTTTGCTCAGCACCAGAAAAAATTTTTTTTTTTTTTTTGTTGACCTTTTGTTGACATCTTATATAAAAACACTGTATCAATAAAATATTATTTTATTTTATTTATTTTTTATTTATTTATTTATTTATTTATTTTTTCTGTCTTTTTGCTAGTACTTTTGTAATATTATGTTTTAATAATTTTTTAGTTTTTTCAATTCAATTGTTTGATGTAATCGGATACGATTCTAGCACAGAAGTTTTATATGGACGCACGAATAGAAATAATGTTATTGAGATGAACCTAAATAACAGGAAACCTTTAATTATAACTAAAGAAAGATGTTTTAAAACAAAAGCATGCCAGTCATTTTTTAGTTAAAATCGACATAATTGTTTCTGTGTTTACATCTTATACGCGTCATTAGAAATTTTTTTAATTAAAGTTTGATAATTTTAATTAAAAGTATATCTTTCCGCAAATAAAACAAAAATGCACCAGCCAAACTTTTCATGTAAAAGTTTACGACATGAAAATACATGTATATGCACATAACATAATATATTATTATAAATATTTATTTATAAATATATGTGAATTATCTCTTTAAAATATATGCAATTTTATATATAACTATATATATATATATATATATATATATATATATATATATATATATATATATATATATATATATATATATATATATATATATATATATATATATATATATATATATATATATATATATATATATATACATATAAATATATATATATATATATATATATATATATATATATATATATATATATATATATATATATATATATATATATATATATATATATATATTTATATATATATATATATATATATATATATATATATATATATATATATATTTATATATATTTATATATATATATATATATATATATATATATTTATATATATATATATATATATATATATATATATATATATATATATATATTTATATATATATATATATATATATATATATATATATATAAATATATATATATATATATATATTTATATATATATATATATATATATATATATATATATATATATATATTTATACATATATATATATATATATATATATATATATATATATATATATATATATATATATATATATATATATTTATACATATATATATAGTTATATATAAAATTGCATATATTTTAAAGAGATAATTCACATATATTTATAAAAAAATATATATAATAATATATTATGTTTTACATAAATATATTACAAAGAAATATTTTTTTTAACTAAAAATCTAATAAAAATGGTTATATATAAAATGGTATATATTTTACAAAGATGGAATTCATATATATTAAAAAACAAAATCTTTATACTTTAAATACAAGTTTGTAGCATTTCGTTCTTCACGTGTATATAAAATGCTTCCTTTTTGCTTCCACAATTCTATTAACTGCATTTATCGGACATTTTTAAATATAAAATTTAGTTAAATTTAGTTAAATTTTAGCTATTTTATTTTCTAAATAAACAAACTTTCTTCAAATTTAAAGACCTTAATTTAAAGAGACTTAATAAATTCTATAATTAAAATTAAAATGACAAATAAAAAAAATTTTGACCACTGCATTTGTTATTATTCTGAATTGTTTATAGTATTGATTTGTCAATTTTTAACAACTTGTAGGAGGACATTTGCAATTAGGCTCGATTGCGATTAACTTATATAAATGTGTAACTTTGTGTCGATTTTTATTTTTATTTTAATTTCAAAAACAGCAAGGTTACTTTTGGTAAAGAATTTTATGCAGATTCCAAATCTGCAAAATTAAATTTAAAAATTAATGTCTTGCTGGCTGGGTCAGCGTTGTTTTGAACGGAAAAATGACAAAAATGTGACTAATTAAAAGGGCAAAACTGTAATTTAAAAAAATTTCTAAAATTTTCGATTGACTCAATAATTGCTATCTTGAATTTTGAGAAAATTGATTATTTGGTTCAAAAAGTTATAAAAATAAATACAAAAAAGGAGTTTTTGTGAAGGGTATTTTTACAAAAATTAAGCACTTTTTATATATTTTAGACAAAGAATGTTACGGTAAAGTGTGTTATTGTTTTTTCTGTTTTTATCAAACTTTGAAAGTAAGAGGAGTTCACTTTTGTAGGGAATTACATGTTGAACTTTATGAAAATATCATATTTTGGAAAAAAAAATAAACGCAAAATGTGTACTTTTGTGAAGGTTACTTTTAGAATAATTATTCGATTTTTTCTAATTTTAGACAGTGAATGTTATCAGTGAATGTTTCTTTTCTGAAACTTATAAAGTCAAACACTTTTGTTATAACAAACAGTATATTATATAATAATACATTTATGATAAATATTATATAATTTCCTTAATAAAATTCTTATTAAAATTTACATATAATTAACAATTAATAGTTTAAATTTTATTTAAACTTTGTGAGTTCAACTAAGTTATATTTCATATTGTTTGCACTCATAAAACCCGTACTGATGGAAAAATGTTATTACATAAGAGTTCAATTGGAATAAAATATGCCGAGGTCCCTCTAATGCAAATATGCGAACAAAAACTTTGAAAAAGTAACTTTATGTAAACCACTTATTATTTTGCGAGACAAAATACTTGATCTTTTGGCTGATTAGGTTGGCGAATACAGAATTGTAACAGCAGTAAGATCTGGAGTGTTACCTGAAAAATTATTTTACCTTGAAATATGGCCTTTTTCTCTTTCCAGATGGAACACTACAGCCAACTGTTTTTGTGGGTTTCAATTCATTTTCTAACAAAAAAACCCTCAGAAAGGAACTTACTATCAAGTTCCTTACTTTTTTACTAATAGATTTGTCAGTTATACGAAGTAAAATTGGGTTTACCGTGGCCTAAACTGATTTTATATTATTGCTAATTTTCTGAGCCACTTATGCGATTTCTACATTTGGATTCACATTAATAAATTAGCAATAGTACTAAATTGCCTGTCTGAAAGTGCTTGGATCTGTCATTGATAATTCACATGGGCTACCACAATATTTTTTTTCTTTTTTCATCCGTGTAATTGGAGCCTTAACATTCGCAGCATTTTAATAAACTAATAATAAATGTAAACTGTATTAAGGTAAACACTTAGAGTTATTGGGGGAAAGAGAAGTCAAAATACCAAAAAAAAACCTAAAATATCAAAACAAATTTCCAAAAGCCTACTTTGCAAAAAAAAAAAAAAAATCTCTTGAGAAAATCTGGCATCTTCAGATCCCCTTTGCCGTGGCCCATGGGAGTATAAGTTATGAGTTAAGTATATTCATTCGTTTTTTAAAAAAAAAAATTATTTAATATTAAACAGGTAAAAATATTACATTAAATATAACAATCATAAGTGTGTACCTAAAATATTAAACGATTTAAAAACTTAGCGAAAATTTATTGGCTTCCTAAAACAATGGCGTTTTTAAAAAAAAATGTTTACTGGTTAATTTGTAAATTCAAGACAAGATATTTTAAAACAAAGTAATTGAATTAAAATAAAATGTTTCAGTGTTTGAAATTAACAACCTAACAAAACTTGTCCGAAGTTAAGACATGTAAACCCGCCAGTCATTTTTATGCCAGGATACTTTAGATTGTAAATATATTTAAAAAAATTGGGCGAATTTCAGTGTGGAGAATAGTAGAAGTTGCGTGATTTTGCATTTTAACATGTAATAAAAGGGATTAATAATCTTTTCAAGAAAGATGGATGAAAAAATTACATCTGAAATACCAATATATTTTGCAAAACAGCTACAGGAGCTTGCTAGGGGGCTTTAGCCAAACTCTCCTTCCTCCTTTAGTCTGCAATAGGGATGGAGGGCTCAGTCCCCACTAAAAAAAATTGGATCAAACAGAAAATTGAAAGAAGACTTTTTCATGAGTTTAATATTTATCATAACTAACTACTATAATATAATTTTTCAAATAAATAACATATTTAAAAAAACATTACATTTTTAATTTTTGCGGCCATTAATTAGTGCGGCCGTGGCGTATTAAGGAGGTGTAAACTTCCTGGTAAAATGCACATCCGCGGTGCTCTGTGACAAGACCGTTAGGTCTTCTTTGGGTACCTAAATAACAAAAAAAAATGTTTAATTTTTTCCAATTTTTGAAAGTTTCTCTTTTGCGTTTGTTGAGTGCCTTTTTATGTGGTTCGCCACAATAAGTAGCCGTTTCTGTTTTAATGCCTTATTCTGAAACAGATGAGTGAAATCTTGATTTATGTTGATTCCTCTTTCTGTCGCGTTAATGATGACAGTCAACCTATTGATAAATCTGTGTAGATATTTGAGAAATGGTGCTATTCAATGAGAAATCATATTGTAAATTAACCTTGAATTTTGAAAATTTACAGATTTAAATTATATATCTAATATATAATAACAATAAAAGTAATAATAATAATAAAACTTTAACGTAATATTACGTTTTTACTTGCAGCTAACTTTCATCCAGTCTGTTTCCTTCGGGTTTAGATATTGAAAAATCACCCAACTAAGTTCAAATGTTTCAGTCTGGAACATCTCACCAGAGGTTGGTCAATGCCATTATGCACATTTTTATCCAACTGATCATCTGCTAACGATGTTGCAACTGATTGGAGACCTTCTGGTTTTATTCTTTGCCTACTTTATCCTTTATTTTTCCAACTGAAGTATCTTTAACCTGGTATTAACAATAGTGTATTTTTCTTTAAAAATTTGCTAAATCTATTATAGATCATAAAGATTTTGAATTCTAAATACAAAAGAACCGATTTATAAAGCAATATTTTAGAAAAGCATATATATATATATATATATATATATATATATAAATATATATAAATATATATATATATATATATATATATATATATATATATATATATATATATATATATATATATATATATATATATATATATATATATATATATATATATATATATATATATATATATATATATATATATATATATATATATATATATATATATATATATATATATATATATATATATATATATATATATACATATATTCTTGCATGGTATTAAGAAAATTTTTCCCATAAACTGTAGTTTTAAAGAGCGCGTTAATAAACCAGACCAGAAACAGTTTAACAGCTCAAATTTTTATTTTTTTTTTTCTTAAATGATAGTCTGCCCAATTCTAACCCTCAGTTGATGTAGCTGCACTCCATTGCGAGACAGGCTATTTTTCAGTCGCTGTAACAGCACTCCGTTGCGAGTCAAGCTATAAAATAGTGTAACAACGCTCTGCGCATGTTTTAAAAATATATTTTAATAAAACAACAACAAAAACTCCTTTAATTAAAAAAAACTTTCTAGTCATTATTATTGCGGTTTTTTAAAAAAACAATAAAGTTTTATGTACTTCCGCATTAATTCAATTGACTTGACAATAAAATACAGCTTGAGTCGAGGTAGCAATATATATATATATATATATATATATATATATATATATATATATATATAT